TGAGTAGTAATCTTACCGCAATTTGTGTTTATCATAACTTGCATGATTTACACATGATTTTTAATATGAATATGTTACCGATTATTTTGAGTTGCATGTGGGACAAGTCTTTTACTCGATATAATACAGAAATAGTTATTGGAGATGATTACTGCTGTTTTAAATATTGTTGTTGTCACTAGATATGTAATACCGTTACTTGAATTTACTGTAATCGAAATAAAATTACATGACCTAAATGCCCTATATTTTTTTAAAATATTTTCTTATGAGTAAATACGGATTACAGAGACAAGTATAAATGGGAGTAGAATTTGAAGGATCCTGTAGCTAACGACGGGTTCGTTAGACCTGGTTCACCTTGTAATTATCGATTACCATTACAACCCTCGCTAGTGGGAAGGTAGAACTAGCATACCGTTACTGATTTCCCTCGAGTAAGGATTACCGTTATATTTGACTTCTTGCGAAGAAGTTCACAGTTATACCGATTACATGACCCATTCATTGAAAACCTCACAAATGTGAATATTGATATTATACAGTGGTTACCGAGCTTATTACTGAATTATTGATTGAATTATATTACATGAAAACATGACGAGACTGAAAATTATTTATTGTTTCTGAAAGGGCATCTTTGTGATACTTTTGTTTAATATACTAGCATGTTTTCTGACTTGTCCCCAATAAAAATGATTGTGGTTAAGTGTTATTACTCACTGAGCTAGCGACTCATTCCCCGTTTATTTTTTTTTACAGAGACAGCAGTTGACGCAGGCGGGGATTTCGTTAATCAGAGCGCACGGGTTGATAGTTCTTGGTGAGCCTCGCACTTGTTCGCGTGGGCGAAGATTTCATTTATTGTTATGGTCTTTTCCTTGAACTCTTAGAGTCGCTCCATAGTCATCCTTTTAGTGTCGTGAGTATTCATTTGTTGATATGGACTAGTTACTAGTATTGTACTTTCTTTCCGTATTTTTAGAGTTGGTTTTGGTTTTAATATGTTGTGGAGGTTGGCAATATTGGTGGAAACCCGTTTGTGCTTAGTTGATGAATATTGTGACTGATTTAGGTGAATATTGGTTGGTTGTTACTTGTTTATAAGACAGGAAAGTTTTTGGGATAGTCCAAAAATAGGGGAAACTCTGTTTGATTTTTTGTAAAACATCGATGAGGCTTATTTAGGGGAACTTGCTCCTAAGTGCCGGTCATGATCTTAAATTGGGTCATGACAGGGATCAAGATATTTGCCGCTTCATTTCAATTTCAAGGCTAAGTCTTATCGTAGTTAAATCGAAACTAATAATTTCCTACAAACAGAAAACTCTCTTCATACAACTAGTCGTTAATACACAAACGGTAATAATTTTTCCCCTCTTTGGGCATTTGGTGCTCACGCACCGTCTCATGGGGACGCCGGCGGAGCCCAATCTGGCGCGTCTGTCCGAGACAACGAACACCATAACAGGGAAGAATACCATGGAAGAAGAAATTACAACTAAGTCAAACTATGCAGTGGCTGTGAAAGCTCCATCAACAATGATCCCTAACTCAAATCGCCATGGCGACCCAACCGTTAAAGCTTGCTACTCGAGTCACAATGGGATGATAGCGAGCCAGTGACTATTATGGGGTTATTGTAGAAGAGTGTAGATTCACAATGGTCGGCAAATTTCTTCGTACAAGGCCTCAAATTGAAAAAATCCGGTCCAAATTTGCTGAGAAGATATATGTAAAAGGTAGTGTAAGAATAGGTGTATATGATTTTCGCACTGTATTTCTGGATTTTACCAATGAAGAAGACTTTAAATCAGTACGCTATATGCGCTCTATTGAAATTGAGGGCCAAATTATGTGGCTAGAAAAATGGACTCCGGACTTGAAGCCAGATGTCGATTCCCCTATAGTTCCAGTGTGGGTATTACTCCCTGAGCTTCCTTTTCACTGTCACACATGGAATTATATCAAGCAAATTGTAGGCCGGATTGGAACACCCCTGTTCATGGACATAGCTACAGATTATAGCACTAGGCCAAGCATGGCTAAAGTAAGGGTTGAAGTCGATCTTACTAAGCCAAAGCTTACTTCTGTTTGGGTGTGATCTGAAGATCAACAAAACCCGCTGAAAGGGTTTACACAAAAGCTAGAGTATGAAAATGTTCCAAAGTACTGCAGGCACTATAAACTCCTTGGACACTCGATAACTCAATATAGGAAAATTGAAAAAAAGCCAGAAGATGATGGGAATTCAAGGGAAAGAATGTACCAAAAGAGATGGGCAACAATGAACTACAAGATGAAAGTAGTAGGGGGAAAAAACAACAGAAAAAAGAGGCAGTGGGAAATGAGAACCAACAAAAGGATATGAAGGTGCAAATTTCTGATAAAGGAAATGAAACAGAGGAGGACAAGAAAGGACAAGAAGACAATGAATGTGCAGTGAAGGCTAGTAATGAGAGCAACGCAAAAAAGAACCAGATTAAGATTATTGAAGACGAAATAGTAGGAAATAGAAGGCATAAGTAATGACAAACCATCTTCTAGGGAAAGGACAAGAAACAAAAATAGGAAAAAGAAAAAAATCAAGAAGATGCCAAAAAAGAAAAGAAAAGTTCTCTTCAAGCCAGTCCAATCCGAGGAAAGTGGCAGAGAATATCCTACAAAGACCCTCAAGATAGTTCAACATGACTTGTATGAAACTACAACAGAAGGACAAAATCAACTTAATCGAGTGGAGGAACAACTTGGGAACTATGACAGAAACTCAGAGATGGCCTGCAATAAAGAGTTAGTGGCTGAAACCAGTGGGGAGAATATTAATGAAATAGGAACCAAAGAAATAAATGAAGACGACTCGGAAATTAGAACAGACAATAATATTAACAGCTCTCAAAATGTTACGAAGAAGGACACTAATGGTGGTATATGCTATAGCATATCTGATCTACCAACTGATATCATTGAACAACAGGGAATTAACATCATGGTGGAATTGAATGAGAGGATAGATCATCATGAGGTCAATAGTAAAGAGGGAGATAGTATAGAGCATATCTAGCAAGTTCATACAAACACAACCAGGGAGATACATATAGCAACTCAGGGCGATACATAGAATACCAATCCAAAAGAAGTCAACGACCATGAATCTCTTTCACCATTAGGAAGAGGAAGAAGCAGAAGCAGGAAAATAGGAAAAAGACAAAGAAACAATACAGCTCTCTCGCAAAAAAGGAAGCAAAAAGAAGATACCATCCCCCTATAATTCCCATGATTAAAGCAATCTTTTAGAACATAAGGGGGGTTAGGTCTAAGAAAGCCATTCATAGGCTCAAAAATCTCATTAACATCACAAAGCTCAGTTTGTAGCTATCATTGAGCCTTTTGTAATAATGTTAAAATAGAAGGTTATAGAAAATTTTTAGGATATCAATTCTGCTATGCAAATTGCAATGGCCAGATATGGTATTTCTGGAATCACAACCATCAATCCAACATTGTGGAAGATGAAGAGAAAGACATAACCTTCAAATTTACTGAGGGCCAAGATAACTCGGGGATCTTCATCACAACAATATAAGCTAAATGTATTGCAGAAGAGAGAAAAGATCTTTGGAATAGTTTAGAAATCATGAGCCAAACTATTGATACTCCTCGGTGTGTTGGAGGTGGCTTCAATGTCATCACTGATTCAGAGGAGAAGCTAGGAGGAAAGGCACATAGAATGTATAGAAGTCTTGACTTTATTAATTGTATGGACAATTGTGGAGTCACAGATATTGGTTCACTTGTCCTAATTTTACTTGATGTAACAATAGAAGACCAAGAAAGAGGGTGTGGAAGAGATTAGACAAAGTGTTTATCAATGATATTTGGGCCCAAAAATTTCCAACATAACACTGTTAGACGCCTCGTCAGGACAGAATCATATCACAGACCATTGTTAATAAAGTGTTTTGATTCAAATCAGAATAACATCAGGTACTTTAGGCTCCTCAATCTCTGGACAAAACAACCAGGATTTAAGGATATTGTGAAAGAAGTTTGGAACACACAGATTCAAGGCAACCCTATGTGGAGACTACAATCCAAGCTTAAAATCCTTGCTACAAGACTCAGCAATTAGTCCAGGGAAGATATTGGAGACATTCATGAGCAAGTTATCAAATGGGAAGAAAAGATTCAGGCCTTAGAGGAAATCAACATAATATCCAACACAGATCAAGGAAGAATTTAGATTAATAAAGTGCATGCAGAATATGTGAAATAGCTAGGTTTGCAGGAATCACTCCTCAAACAGAAAGCTAATATTAAATGGTTTGAGGAAGAGATTCAAACACCAACTATTTTCATAGTATGCTGAGAGACAAAAGAAGGAAATTACAAGTGCATAGAATGAAGAATAGCAAAGGAAGATGGATTCAAGAGAGGAGAACATAGCAAGGGCAACCGAGAAGCATTTCAAACAGCTGTTCAATCTTCTTAAGCCAATGATGAATAGCTCCATCATGCAATGCATTCCTCAAAGTATTTTTGAGAAGCATAACAAAAGATTAATGAGTCTACCCACAGAAGAGAAAATAAAAGAAGCAGTTTTCAACCTCAATCCAGATAGTACAGCGGGACCAGATGGTTAAAATGAATTTTTTTTCAAAAATTGTTGGGATATAATAAAGGAGGATATCAAGGACTATGTTCTATAATTTTTCAAAGGAAAAAACCTCACCAATTTTTTCCCGTACTAGTTTGGTTCTCATTCCAAAAACCAAAAGTCCTTCTAGCTTTTCAGACTTTAGACCTATTAGTCTGTCTAATTTCACCAAAAAAATCATTTCAAAAATTTTAGCTAGTAGACTTAATCCCATCCTTCCTGATATTATTTCTGAAAAATAAAACGGTAAGATAGACTAATTACAAAGAATGTTCAATTGGCCCAGGAGATTATCCTCTCTATATCTCATACTAATAAAGGAGGAAATATTGTAATGAAACTTTACATGGCAAAGGCTTATGATAGAATGTCATGGACCTTTGTCATTGAAGTTTTGAAGAAGTTTGGCTTCTCAGATTTATGGAATGACATGGTGTTCAATCTTATTTCCGGAGTTTGGTATTCAGTCCTCATTAATGGCTCAAGAGCTGGTTTTTTCACATCCTCACAAGGTCTTAAACAGGGAGATCCTTTATCACCTTCTCTCTTTATAATTGATGCAGAAGTTCTAACAAGATCCTTAAATAGTTTACATGCTAATGAAAAGTTTGTTCTATTTTCTATGCCTACTAATGCTCCACTAATTAATCACTTGGCCTATGTAGATGATGTTATCATATTCAGTAGTGGCAACCAGAAGTCCATCAAGTTGATCATGAAGGAAATACGAACAAACTCTGGACAACAAGTCAATAGTAACAAAAGTCATTTTCTCACTGCTCCCAGGACTACAACAGCACGAATAAACAGACTGAGAGCTTGTACTGGATTTATGGAGAAGGACTTACCATTCATTTATTTGGGATGCCCAATCTATGTGAGAAGAAAGAAGATAGAACATTTTGACATCATGATTAATAAGGTTGTGAAAATGCTAAATGGGTGGCAAGGAAAGATGCTTTCCTATGATGGAAGAATTATACTCATCAAGCATGTGTTACAAGCATTACCAACTTATAACCTTAGCGCTTTATCTCCTCCAAAAGGAACCTTCAAGCTTTTAGAAAAGCACTTTGCTAATTTCTTTTGTGGTTCCAATGGTGACACCAGAAAATATTATTGGAGTTCATGGAAGAATTTGTGTTATCCGATAGAGGAAGGGGGAATAAGTATAAGAAGAATGGAAGACATCAATGAAACTCTTGCAATTAAGAAATGGTGGAGGTTTAGGGCTAGGCCCTCTCTACTGCTACATTCTTGAAAAAAAAATACTGTGTTAGGGCTCACCCAGCTACTAAGAAATGGGCATCGGGAGATTCTCATCTTTGGAAGAGTATGACTCAGGCTAGACAAAAGGCTGAAATTCATATGATCTGGCAGGTTAACTCGGTAAGTAGCAGTTTTTTGTGGGATAACTGGAAAGGAAAAGGCCCTTTAGCTACTGAATTTCCAGAAGCATCAAAGAGTACTACAAGAACTTCGGTGAACTCTTTTGTAGCTAATGGAAAATGGAACGAATGCAAGCTTAGAGAAGTCATCCCTACTTATATGGTTCAACATATATTAACCATAGAGATAAGGAGACAAAACATCAATGACAATCTTGTCTGGGACTTGACAGAAAATGGAAAATATACAAACAAGTCCACCTGGAATATAATAAGAAGTTGTAAAGTCAAAGAGCAGCAATTGAGCAAAGTTTGGCACTCTAGCATCCTTTTCAAAGTTTCTTTCCTTGTTTGGAGATTATACCTTGGATCAACTTTTGTGACAACTTAGTTAAGCTCCAGTCTATTCCCAAAAGTATTATTATTTATTGGAAAACTCCTAAATCAGGTAATATAAAACTCAATACAGATGGAAGCTATAATGCTAACTCTGGAAAAGCAGGATTAGGTAGGATTCTAAGAGATGACAAGGGCAATCTAGTCATGGCATTCTCCCATCCAACTACATGTAACAGTAATATAATAGCAGAGGAGCAAGCTGCAAAATTTGGTATGCAATGGTGTATTCAAAATGGATTTAAAGACTTCAGTCTGGAGCTTGACTCTACGGCAGTAATACAGATGATTAATGATAAGCAAGCTGATAACTAAAAGCTGATTAATTTGAATATTGAATCAAGGTAATATTAGTGTTAACCACTACTTTAGGGAAGCGAACAATGTGGCGGATCACCTAGAAAACTTGCCAAGGACAGTCAACATGGATCGCTTTACTACTCCTTCCAAGACCTTCCAAGAGGAGCTAAGGGCCCTTTTCTTTTGGACAAAATGCCTAGTATTAGGCTAAGATACGACAAGGCTAATTTTTTGTTAGTTAGTCTACTTATGTTGTAGGGGCGTAAGGAAGGATGTAATATTTTGGCCATCCTTTATCTTTTGCTGGACTATGACATTGTCCATGTGTTGTATCATAAGAGGTAAGGTCAAGTCCCCCTCTTGTTCCTTCTCAAATGAATATAACTCTCACTAGTAAATTGTGAAATTTCATAAAAAAAGAGGTTAAGTCTTACATTTTTGTCTAATTCATCTATTATTTTAGGATCAAATTAATTCACTTGTCTATAAAACACGTATAAATTCAATTGTACCATTTTACGGGTAAACAGTTTGGCGCCCACCGTAGGGCATAGACATTTGTGTAATTGAATTGATCCCTGCGTCTATTACTAACTTGTTTGATTCTTTGCCCTTAGCAAAAATCATTAAAAATGGCAGATAATGGTGTTAAGAACACATACAACATTGAGACCCAAGCAAATCAGCCTCACCACGAAGATTCTATCGCGATACCTGCAATGAGGGGAACAAAGCCACGCCGGTCCACGGAGGCCGATATCCGCAACATGTTTGGGAGGCGACTCCTGATGATGCTGAAGAAGGAGTAAGGGTCTTGCAGGAGCAATAGGAGGCCATTATAGGCCATCTTTCACGACAGGATAAGGTCATGGCGGAGCTGAAGTAGACATTGTCGGGTGCTTCTAACAACGCAAATGGATGATGTCCAGTTCTTCCCGATGCTCCCGCAAACTAAATATCGCAGAGGGTCGACAACAACACCCCGAGGGGCGAGGTTGGCTGCGATGGGGCTGGGGGGAGCAGATCCGATCACAACAACGAGAAAAACCCCTTTAGAATCAAACTCATGTGGATTATGAAGGAAGTAAACGCCCGAGTGGATAAAATTCCGGGCGCACCACTGGTGCTGAAAGGCCCGAACTTGAAGAAGTACACGTAATTGCCGTACAAACCAAGCGCGACACCAGATTTGATCCCGAAGCGATTTAAAATGCCGACGTGCCGAAGTATGACGAGACTTAAAGATCCTCAGGAGCATATAACCACCTATACAATGGCTGTGAAAGGGAACAATTTAGCTCCCTCGAGATTGAGTTAGTTTTGCTGAAGAAATTCGGGGAGACTCTTATGAAGAGAGCCTTGACGTGGTATTCGCTTTTGCCCAAGGATTCCATAGACTCCTTTGAGATGCTCGTGGACTCTTTCATCAAGGCTCATTCTGGGGCCAGAAAGGTACAAGCTCGAAAAGCCGATATATTCAGGATTGCACAAGGAGATTTCAAGTTGCTGCGAGAGTTTGTAACCAGATTCCAGAAGGAAAGGATGTTGCTATTGGTCGTACCGAATGAATGGTCGGCTGAAGCATTCACCAAAGGTCTGAATCTGAGAAGATCTGACGCTTCCTGGAAGTTAAAAGAAAGTTTGCTCGAGTTCAAGGCAACAACTTCGGCGGATGTTCACAACCGATATGAATCGAATATAAGGATTGAAGATGACCTGCTCGGCTTACCAGCATTGGTCAACGGTTGAGACCGGGAGAAGAATAAGGAGAAAGTGAAAGATGATTTCAACACGGATCAACGGTCTTCAAGGAGTCAATTTTTTCCCTATGAATGGGTCGAAGGATGCGGCAGAGGTTTTCGATCGGCGGATAGATTCGCTACCGATAGGAGAATTGATCACGGCCGAAATAATAAGTCATTACAAGGCAAGGAAACGTCAGGTTCTCGAGATTCTTCCTACCCCAGGCTTTCCAAATACAACTTCAACGTCAGTGTGGTGGAGCTGGTGTCGGTCATCAGGAACATTAAAGAAGCATGATTCCCAAAGCTAATGAGGTCCGATTCCAACAAAAGGGATCCTAACTTATGGTGCGAATACCATGAGAAAAATGGTCATCGGACTGGGGAATGCCAGCATCTGCATGAAGAAGTGGCAATATTGCTGAAAAAGGCCATCTTAGAGAATTTTTAAGTGACTGGGCTAAAATAACTACGGTCGCAACCGTGATAATGCAGAGCCTTCAAAAGCAGGAAAAGATCCCCCGTGCCTGGCGATCAATATGATTTTCAGGGGGGACGAGATTAATGGGTGTCACACCTTCCTTTTTCACTACACCCCGTAAAGGGTATAATAAAGGGAGTTCTTCCAATTAAAGGACAATCGAAACGGGATTTATTATTATATTATTCAGAGTCGCCACTTGGGATATTTATGGTGTCCCAAGTCACCAGTTAGAATCCCGAGTCGAGGAAAATATTGACTCTGTATTGCAGTCCGCGAACCAGAAATTCTGAATAAGGAATTCTGTTAACCCGAGGGAAAGTGTTAGGCACCCCCGGATTCCGTGGTTCTAGCACGGTCGCTCAACTGTTATAAATGGCCTATTATCTGATTGTAATACATTTTAAACCTATTAACCGCTTTATTCATCTTTAGGAAGATTGCAATGTTATTAAAACACGTCTTGAACCACGTCACATAAATGCACCCGCGGTCTTTGACATATTTTAACATCGTTGAGATTTGGATTTGGGTCACATAAATGCGCACCCGAATTTAGGAAGGTAATATTATTAAATGACGCGACTAAAGCAACTACGCGTTGTTAACTTTGCGAGGGCCATGGAAATTTGCTAAATGGCACGCCTCGAATTCTAAGGATTTTAAAAGAAATGATTAAGTGAGGGCCACGCATTTGAGATTTTATTTGGCGCGGCACACCTCAAGTCCATTTTTAAAGGATTTTCAAACTAAAATTCGAAGGGCCATGACTATTTGTTTTAACTAATATGGCACACCTCAATTATTTGAATATGGCCTAACGAAGTTGCAACTATTCTGATCGAAGCTCGAACTCAGATCTTCAACTCGAAAGGCTACCCAAACGCGATGGGCACCCCTTCAAACCAAAATAGTTCGATACTCAAGCCCAACAGGGGACCAAGTATGGGCAAGCACAAGCTGCAAGCAGAAGACTCAGAATCGAATCCCTATCGTGCAAACAAAAAAGAGACATGCTTATTGAATTATTCAATGCATGACAAAAACAAACCAATTAATAATTAGGAAGGCTTATACAAGGAGAACTAATTCATTACGTGAAGAGGCTTGAGCTAATAAAAGAGGGCTAATGGCCCAACAAGAGAAAAACGGTCCAGATCTTGTTTAAAAGATTTTTCAGAACTGGGCCTCATAATTGAGCCCAAGTCGAAGCCCTGCAACTGAGGAATGAAGTCTCAAGGTCGAGTCCCTGAGGCACCCAAATGGCACTGGTTTAAGCCTGAAGGATCCAATTATTAAATGCAGCATGCTACTGAACCTTTTAAACATAAAACAAGGTTTCAACTTGAAAACTAACTAACAAGCAATTTTAAACCTTTATATCTTCAAATTAATCTTCATAACTAGGCTAATAGAGACATCAACAAGTTCTAAAAATTGGCACTCAACAGCCAGAGAACCACAATACCCATCATTGAATATTGGACCATTAATTGAATTTAGAATAAAAGGTACAACAAATTTAAGCTAATGAGTACTCTAAACCATCAGAAGATGAATTTTGGCAACTAAAATGAAAACAAAACAGAACATGAATGGACTGTGTTGAACCCAAGCTCCGAATTAACAGATCTGCAACATGACCAAACCAAATAACTTCACCTAACATAACTAACATCCTTATTTCTTAATTACATCAATACATTTAAAAGTCCAAACAGTCCTCGAATCATTACATTCAAATAGGTTCAAACTCCAAGTCTTAAAATGAAGTATAACATTAGACATATAACTAACTACTCATGATAGCAAAGAAGGAGCATGTGAGGAAAAACTATAGGAAAACCAACAACATTTGCTCGAGGAAACAAGTAGCTACTTCGACTTGATTTCATAAACTTCATCTCTACATTTATTCATGATTCAAGAGTCCTTACATACTTGAAAATGTGAAGGAAACAAAGCAAAAATAATCAGATGTCTAGCAGCAGTAGCAAAGCAGCAAAAATCAACCTCAAATCCGATGAAACAGTGAACCAGACAGCTCAAAACCCAGAAAATGCAGTCCAACAAACCAAAATCTAACTTCAAACCCACAGTTAAACCAACAGACCTCAAAACCCAAACTCAATGACTGAATCTCAAGCCATTTCCAAGTCCAAACAACTAGGAAATTGATTCAGGGAGAGGAGGATTTCAGATTACCAAATTAAAACTCAATTGAACAGTGTTTTCTACAGAAATTGCAGCCGTTTTCTATTCTAATTTTTTTAGCTCTTGTCCTGCCTTGAAAGGCAAGAAAAGGTGCCTTTATAGGCAAGGGAAGTAGGGCAGCCTAGAAATATTCAGATTGCAATAAGGCCCTTTTTCAATTTTTGTTTTTGCCTAGATAACCTTAGTTAAAAAATCTAAAGTTCAAATTAAACCCCCACCCAGCTTCCAGGAAGCTTCATAGTTGGTTATTTGAGAGATTCTCTCAACCAATTACCTAAATTACCCTTCGAGCCCTGGTTATTTACTGCCAAAAATCCAAATGGGTATGGGTCATCTTGACCCAAGGCTTCATTTCAACAAAATAGATTAAATCCCCTCCTTAGAACACAAAACAAATCCAACCAAAATCAATTGGGCAGAAAAGCACACGGGCAAGGGAAATCAATAGACCCTTGGACCAAAAATCTCAATTCAGCCCACTACTCTAAATAAAAAGCAACTGAACCAAAATTAAGCGACGAATCCAAATAAACAAAACAACAAGAAAAAATAGAGAAAATGGCAATTAAGCCCCGACC